GGGTGTGCAATGGGGGGGGGGGTTTTTTTTTGTTTAATTAAAAAAAAAAAAAAAAAAAAAAAAAAGGTAATAATTGTTTTGTTTTGTTTTGTTTTTAAAGCTTTTGTAGTAAGTGTTTAATGAGGGTAGGAGGATCCTGGAAATCTACTTTTCTGCCTAATTTCATTGCTGTTGGCAACTTAGTATCACTAAAGGAGGTTCTGTTGGGTCATCTCTTACTGCACCCTTCTTGCTGTGGACTGACAATATGCGCGCATATGCGTGCATACACTCAGGGTTTGTCTGAGTACGCAGGTATATATATGTGCATAGAAATGCAGTTGCTTTATTTCAAAAGGGCTAGCTTAATATTCTCCAATTTTGGTTGCAGTCCTTTCTAGAGGTCAGAAAATGTTGACCTCAGTCGTGCTACTGTGATAGTTTTTTTCCTTTCATATGTTAAAGCGCACGAGTGGGTTAATATGTTGAAAAATTCAAAGCTAAATTGACTGCAGTACAGCATTTTCATCTGCGCAGCAGCTAATATTGGGTGATGACATTTTCTGTTCAGCGTAACTTTTGAAGTACAGATTGGACTTGCGAGAGCAGCGCTGGCTGGCGAGCCGTTCCTCTTGCAGCTGCGGGCGCACCGCTCATCGGCATCCTCCTGCCTTCCCCGTCCCCTTCAGCTGGCGGGCAGTCAGCGCTAAGGGCTCTACTTCTTGTTGCAAGCCTACTCCGTCAAAGGTGAACCCCTTCCTAGCTGCAAACACCCTCCCCACAGGGATGGCTGGGGTTCATTATCACGCTGATTTGCTTCTTTTTCTGTCTTTGCCGTTGTCTCAGCCTCGCCTGTCGGTTGTTTTTGCACCACTGTTTTTTAAACACTGCATTTTGAAAACATTTGTATTTACAAGCTGCAATGCAGCACTGTTGTCTTAACGGTTTGACTGACCCTAATTGCTATGACACATGTAACTAATGATGTTTTGTACTTTCAAGGAGTGCACTAAAAAGGTGATGACATATGAGTTACTGAATAAGGTACTGTGCAACTTGTGCCGCAGAGTTTGTGCAGACCTTATGGAGCATAATAAGCAGTTTTCCTGTGCTCATATTTGTTTCCCGTCAGGCTGGCCTGTCTCCAGCACTGAGGCTGCATCGCACACTGAAGGTTCAGAGGGAGAGAAAAGCAGAGTGCTAAACCGATCTCTCAGCTTGAAGAAGCCTAATTTGATTAGGCTTTGATTTGATTCTCATGATTTCTGGCAAATCTGTCACTATACGTGTGTATATATATGTGTGAGGAAACTGAAAATGGTGTAAAATTAAAAAAACTAAAACTTCAGATTGCCCTTTTATTTTTGTTTACTCTTCACCCACAATCTGATTTATGCTCATTGAAGTCTTTGAACTTCAACTCCCTTGAAGAATCTCTAGTCTGTCGCTTTTTTGATGTTGCTCGAAGGGGGCTGCGCGCGCACGCGCTCCCGTGCCGTGGTGCTCTGGGCAATTTCACTCCGGAGCGCTTCCCTTCCTTTGTTTAACCTATGACCTGTGAAAACAAGAGTTAATCAAAAGTTCTGAGGTAGCTAAGAGGAAGGGGAAGTGTTTGGTTACAAATTAAATATGAGCAAGTCATAAGCCATAAATCTTCAGTAGTGCTACCAGTTGTGCTACTTAAGTTGCATGTGGTACAGAAAGTTTTTGGTTATAAATTCAACCTCCGTTTCTTTGGAGGGAGTGTTTAAAGGCTGCCTTGAGGATTTGCTTTTTGTAAGAAAAAAATCCGCATCTTTTCTTTTTTCCTTTTGCCAGAGATCTAGAAACAAATTCAGATAACTGTATTTCTTGATCCCCCCCACCACCCCACGACACTCCAACCTGAAACAAATGCACAACGCTCTCTTTTTGGCCGCCCCCCCCCCCCCCCCCCAACTTCACCTGGTCACAATTTGATCTAACAAAAGCAGAACTGTTTCGCTCTAGAGTAGTAAACACATGGAATAAATGATGAAGTAAAATTATTGAAGATGGCAGGATAAATTAGTTTTCTAATATATCCAAAGCTTTCAGGATGAGAGAGATCCTGAATTCTGCAGTGACAAAGGAGGGAGGTGAAAATTGAAGTGAAATTGTCTACAGAATTTATGCAATTTTGTGGTGGGTTGGTTTGATTTATCTTGTCTTGCGCCTCACTTGGGCAAGAGCTACACAGATCCCTGGGTGTTGTGTTGTGTTGAGGTCTGCTTCAAATATAAGCTAATTTCCTCAACTTCAAAACTGTGAAGCTTCTCTCCTCAAAATGGAACGTTATCCTTAAAATAAGAAAAAGAAGCAGTTATGCTGAGATGCTAAACCGTTATTTGGAAAACATGGATTAAAATAAGGAAGAGTTAGTGTTAAACAAAGGACAATAATGGAGTTCAATATAAGATAATAGTAAAGAGAAGAGGGAAAGCCGAGAAGGAGAGAGCAAGTATAACAGAACTAGGGCTCTACCTTCCCTTTTGTTGTACGGAGGGTTTGCCGATGTTTTGACATAGTGTGAGTATGAGACTTTATCTGGGTTATTCCTATTAGAATCGTAGAAGCTATTTTCTGGGTGCTGAGCAAAAGAATTAGAACTGGATTTGGACAGCGTATTCTCATGGATAGAACCTACAGATTTGTGATGTGTGGTGTATTGCGGTAATAAAGAAAATTCCTTTGAATCGGTAGTGATGTAAGGTTTAGCTGTGAACAAACAGGCCCCCGACAGGACAGATAAGTAAATCTTTGAAGAAAGAACACAACCTGACCTTGGTTTCAGAGCTCAGCATCGTCCCTGTTGGGTGCACGCACCCCTTGCTGCAGCCGGCGCCGAGAACCTGGTCTGCCCTCGCCCGCGGGCGCTGGGGCTCTACGCGAAGGGCAGCGCTGGCAAACTAGAGGCTGAGGTAACGCACTGTTGGTTAGTGCTTTTATACTGACACGTATATTATGAACACAATAATATTTTAAAAGATTCTCATTTTAATTCTGTAAACGTAGTTTTCCAGCAAGGTCCCTGAGCAATTCAGTAGAACTTTAGCTATGCCTTCCTGGAATACGTTTTGGTTTCATACTGTCAGGAGCTTTCTGCCTTCTTGGGTTTCTGTCTTTTCAAACTCTTTGATAGATGCCTTGCAAGGATTTGTTTACCAGGTTCTTAATCTCTACTTAGCAGATATGTTTTGAGAGGATTTCTTGGTACTCTTGTAATGGCTTTTAACTCTGCTGAAGTTTATTTAACTAAACAGAAAGAAAGAAACTTATCTGCTAACTAATCCTTCTTGACTGTTTACAATATAATGCCAAACTTAAATGCTGTTTAAAGTGGTAATTGTCTGTCTTTCTGCTCTATTCTAATACATAGTTTGTAAAGATGCTTAGAGCATATTAATTTAAATGATAATACTGTCATATAACATGAAAAGTTAAGTTGCTAATCAGTGTATTTTGATAAGCTACTTACATTTTACAGTAGCGTTTGCAGGCTTCAAACAAATGTTAATGATGGAGTGCCATTTGCTTTATCTGTCTCATATATAGCTTCTCACTTCATTTATTACTGAAAGCTGTACAGTTAGGAACTCAATTCTTTATAGTTGTCAGGATGTAGTCATATTTTATAAAAACTTTAAATCCTGTCTAACTGTATCAAAATAGAATCCATTTGCTCCAGAAAGCATCTGTGATTAAAAGAAGAATCCGTTTGTGCGTCACACAAACTTGCTTTCCTATTCGCTGCAGCTGAGGGGAAATTCCTTGCCTGTATTTAAAAAAGAATTGAAATAAAGAACTATGTCATGAAAGTAGGCACAAAATCGTACCAAAGCATACTGTAGTGAAAAGTAACATCTTAGCCGTCTGTCTTATTTTACGGAATGGAAATGTAATGTAAATGAAAAAGATGTGATTTTTCTGCATGTTTGTCCTTTAATTTTGTTTCTTTATTTCTTTCGTAAGTTGAGCACAAATTTACTAAAGGTAAAGTTTCTATTTGACCGAACGAAGGGCTGGGCTAAATACGGTGACATAGGATGTGGATAAGATTTGACAACAGTTAAAAACTGAGATATTGGTTATGGAGTTTAAAAAATCCAGTTGTATCAGGATTCAAAACCAAACCAGCTGTCTGTCCGCAGTTTACGAGGGCCCTCAGCAGCTGTGCAGAAGACTGGTTATTTAACATATACTTTGGGAAATGCGATTAAAAATGTTCCACCATACATGAACATAGATACATTAGTGTACATTTATCTTGCAGGTTCAAAACTTCCATCGGGCTGTGTGTGCTATGTCCAGGGTGAGAAGGACGGGGAGCTCCCAGCCCTGGCCTGCCCGAGGCCCGCGTTTCTTTACCGCTAGTGCCGCGTTGGATGGGTAGTGCCCACAGGCGGCTGGGAAGGCTGGGGAGTAAATACTGGAGCTCAGCCCTCAAAGGGAAGGGGTGCTTCAACCTTCTGGCAGCATCCTCCTTCAAGTGGAAGGTCTGATGTGGCTTTCCTAACAGATAGTTGTAAAGTGTCGTGACCAGTGGAGGCTGTTGTTAGGATGCATCTGTATAGTCATGGCCAGCAATCTTGGATTTATTAACTGAGATTTACCAAGTTAAATGTATGCTCTCTCTTTCTTTTTTTTTTAGTTACCTCCCATGGTTTGAAGTCTTTTATAAGCTGCTCAATGTCTTGGCAGATTATTCAGCAAAAGGACAGGTACTGTTCTAAGTACTAACCCTTCTTTTCCCTGCCCCAATATCAAACGAGGGAGAGAGGATGAAAACAAGCTGTTTTAAGAAGTGCTTATATCAGAGATGACCATGTGAATTATTAATCTGTATGATGCAGTAATGTAGAAGATCATATTCAGACAAGCTGAAAACTTGGCAAGTGCCTTTGAAAAATAAATATGCTTTTAAATTATTTTGGGGGAAAGATAAAGTCCAAGAATGTGACTGTGGACCCAGCAGAAGCTAATGGTTTCCCTGCAGTCACCCATACTGTGCAGACTTTTTGATGACCTGAACTGTGTGCAGCACATCCATGCAATTCCCGTATTGCAGTGTTTCGTGAATCTTTGACAGATGTCTTATCCAAGTTGACTTGTCGTGTAAAGTAAGTGTAGAACTAAGCTTACTGATGCGAAATGCTTACCCACATAGCATCATCTAGCCTAGGCCCTTCAGGTGCTGTTTTGCTTTTAAAGCAAAGTAAAACAAAGTAAAAATCAGTCTTGAGACAGTAAGAAATTATGAACTAAGCCATTAAAATTTGCTTCTAGGTTTATATATGATAATTCATGATACAGAGAAACGATAGATGTGGTTGCAACACCTAGCCCAGTTTCAGATATTTAAAATATTATACGTATAATCTTCCTAGTTAGGTTGCTGCTTTGATTTATTACCATTTTGTGGTAATAAATTGTATTTCGCATTTGTCAGAATCATTCACATTTGAGGTAGAAGCACTTAGGATCACATCTCCCTCTAGATGGATTAAATATTTGTCTTTACCCTAAGCTAGTGAGTTGTTATAAAGAGCTTGCCATGAAAACTGGCTTGCTCTGAGCTGAGTAACTATGTAGTGCATAGGCTGGTGACTCAGTACATTGCAGAAATAGGTAGAAATGCATATGAAAAAAAATTGTAAAAAAACCATGTTATAAAACCCAGCTGTCAGAGGAAATTACATTTATTTCTGTTCACAGTCTAATGTATAAATCTATTTTCACATTTTTCTTTACACTTGCAAGTTCTCTAAGCCCCCAGTTCCACAAACATTGCCCTTTCGTCTCGGAGTTTAGCTTGTTATAGCAATGCCTACTTAGTATTGCTTCCCCCCCCCCCTTCTTATTTCAGGATAGTCAAAGGAGTGAGCTCCTTGAAACATTTCACAAACTTCCCATCCCTGAGCCAGGAGCCTCTGTTCATCTTGGAGTGGTAAGTGAAGTGGGAGAGATGTAAGCTATGGTGTTTAATTTCCATTACATATCATAATAGAGGAATGTCAAAAGCAAGTCTCCTTTTTGGAACTCGGTACACAGATGTTGTTTTCCTGTGAGGACACAGAGCTGTGAAATTCCCCTTTTCACATTTGGGGCCCTCTGTTTCCCTTTCCTTAACCTCAAATGTCTTTGAAATGCTGTTCTTTGATTGGAGGAAGATTGTGTGTATTCCCCATGGAAACGTCTCACCCTCTCGTCTGTGACCTGCGAGAGGTCACAGAGCAGCAGCATGACATTTATTGCCCACACTTCTGCCGAACCCGTAGATCTTGCAAGGGGGACAGGACTGGAGAGCAAACAGCCATGTACCTGTCAGAGCAGCGTTTTGAGTATTAACTGTTTATCACGTTTTTGGATTCCTTCTCTTCTTCCTCCCCCTAAGAAAAAAAATTCACACAAAAAAAGATTTAGTTCATTTTTATATCTTGTGAGAAAATTAATCAAAGCACGCTGAAAGAATAAATGTGGGATTTTATTGATGGGATTGTATTTTTAATTTAGTCTTTTGGGGTTTTTGTCTTCAAATTAATTTTTGCAGAACAACCTTGTGTTCCAGGCTGTAGTGAAAAAACACTTCAGATGCACGTTGCTGCAGTTGCCAGTTAGTCATTTAGAGTTCACATGGAAACTAGTGGTGTGTGCAGCCACGGTTCTCCTCTCCCTCTCATTTCCTTTACTCCTTCTTCTAAAGTACTTTTTGGCAACAAGCAGCTTACTCTCATCACTTCGCCCTGTAATGTCAGTCGACAGGTAACAGTTGTTTGGCCTTGCTAGGTCACCAGCTGGCAGCAGCCAAGTCCCAGTCCTCTTGAGGCTAGCTCTTTTATGAACAGCGTTTCTGTTTAAGGGGACGAGCTGTCTCAAAAGGCAACGATCAGTTGGGATATTTCAGTTTTTTCATACCAGTGGTTTCAAGGAATGCTGCCGGTCTCCCCTTGTCTCAGACATTTCATGGGCGATGAAGCAAGAAAGGATATAAAAAAGCAGCCAAGGGACTGTTAGCTGTGGCGTCTTTACGCGTTTTCTTTTGGCTGTTTACAAGCCTATTTTGGGGTTGGGGTGAGGTTCCTATATGTGATATAGTTGCGTATACTATTCCTGTATCTTTGCATTGCATCTTTTCAACCAAACTAAAATAGTGATATATCAAAAAGCAAAATTTTTTTATACATTTAGTGTCTATATTCAGTGTAGCTCTTACACCCGCTTGCTATTTCGGGTTATAGACTGTTCATGAAGCGCTGAAATGTCTGAGATATATATACAAGAAAATCGTGCCAGTTGTGGAACTATGCCAAGAATATAATAGCCTTTAAAGCTTCAGCAAGTAATTAATAAGTAGCCCTAAGACAAATTGTGAGAGTCTTAAAAATAATACAAATTGTATACAACATTGATTTACAAAAGCAGTTTAGTTGCATTCTCTCCTTTCCTTTCCCAAAGCCCTCACCAAGAAGCATGCAAGTCATGCATGCTCAGATTGGGAAGTAGAGTGAACCTGGTTTTGTAGAATGCGGACAATTAAAAAAATTTAACAGTATAATGGATTATGAAATTGCGAGACCAATATAGTCTTTCAAAATGCATTTTTTAAGGTGTATAAAAGTGACCTAGAACTTTAGAAATATTTTCCAGGTAAGTAGGCGTAAAAATTTAGGAAGCATTTCTCAGTAACTTTCCCTAACTTCACCCTGGTCTTGAATGAAACGAGCTGATGCTGGAAGTCAGAAAAGGACCTGCTCGCTGCTGTTTCCGGTAGGCCAACATGCAACCCGCGATGGGCTGTGGAAAGGTGGCTTGAATTATAGACGGCCCTGGAGCTTCCTTGGCATGTGTCATACATTGTGTGAGTCTGTCTGTATCAGTGTCTCTGAAGAACAAAAAAATGTAATATAGCTTTTCAGGAGCATTTGATACTTTCTATCTTAATGCATTTCATATTGCATGTGTGATCTGAGAATCCAGCTTTTGAAATCCACGACAAAGAAGTCATACTGGTAGTTGGTAACAAATGTTCTGTCATTTTTACTTAGCTGAGCAACCTCTGTTACTGCTGTTACTAATACCAAGCAATAAATTTAGATTGCTTTTGACAATATTGAAATAATCAATATTTGCTCTTTCTTTTAGCATTCTTACTTTACTGTGCCTGACATCAGAGAGCTTCCTAGTATACCTGAAAATGTGAGTACTCTAGAGGACTGTGCGCTTTACCATTTCTGTTTAATGTCAGCAGCAAAATAGATAACAATTGTTACCTCTGGCATAATAATAGATTATACTCTGTAAAATATTGCTAGATGTTGAAGTAAACTTTAGGGCGTTAATTTATAATAAGTCTTGGATGGAAAACGTGTTGCTAACTAGAGAAGGATGGGAGTAACAGGCCTTTTGAAGTACAACATAACAGTAGAATTTAATGTTTGCCATTTAATTAAGAAAAGATACCAAATGAACAGGAAATTGACAGCATAATTATCTCGAGCTATAAGTCAAGATAGTTATTTTAAAAATGTAAAGCTTTTATTATTATCACCACTCTGTTGCTACTTACTGTTAACATTCCATGATTTCTTGGTTCTAGTAAGTGAGGAAATTTAAAATACACATCTATAGTTTTAGCCTACTCAAAACTGGGAAAGAAGAGTGATTTGGTAACTGCATGTAACAGTAGGGTGGCATTTCAGAGACCAACGCTGGAGTTAATTTGTGTGAAAATTCGCTCACTGCAATAAGCCTATGAAAAATTCTTGAAAGTAATCTCAAGGCAGTTTTGCGATTGCCATTTGAGTGAGTACTACAAGGGTCATCCTTTACATAAAAATGCAGGATTACGATAGAAAGGATTTTCATCTACTTTACCGAGACTTCAATTTAAATCAAAAAGAAGACAAGAATCTGTTGAGGTATTTCACCTTTGTAGCTAACTTGAATCAGAGTCTGCTTCTCATAAGTTCCAAAGAACTGCTGTTTTAAAAGAAACTTAATTTCACAACTGAAGAAGCAATTTTTTTCTTCTGCATCGAGATTAATGTTTCACCCCCCCTTGCTGACGTCACCCTGGTTACATGGTGCTGTTGGGTTTCTTGAGGCATGAGACTTGGAGTGCAGTATGGAACTGAAACTAAAAACTAAACTTGGGAAGGAATTGTTGGGACCTGCTGGAGAGAGAACATGCTGGTTTGAAATGAATTTTATTTGAAAGAATATTTCAATACAATATGTTGGTTTTATTTATTAAAGCGTTATGGCTACTTATTAGTCAAGCCAAGGATATAATCTTGATACTCAGTATCTTCAGTGAAAGAGTTCGATGTTTCAAATGTCCATATTGCTAGTATTAAGAAAGATCAAATACCACTTTGGTATTAACTTGCCTTGTTCTTTAAGATGCTGTCAGAATTCAGATAACATATATATATGTATATTAAGTAAGGATTACTTAAAGCATTTTGTAACATCTAGGCTCTTTGCTTTAAAGGTATGTTATTAGCTGTAGTTGCTCAGGAGGTCATTCTTTTCTTTGTGGTAACATCTTCCTTCTGTATCATATTTACACAGTAGCGTTCAAGAGTTGACAGTCTGCATTTGTGATTAAAAGCTGAAATGTATTAAGGGTAAAGTACTAATGGACAGATTGATATGGGCAGAAAAAAGCAGATCTGCTAATTGTACAGCGAGACCCTTCTGAAAGAGTGACATAAGAGACCGGTAAAAATGATCTGTCTGTTAGATGGCTTTCTGAAAACATCAAGCATACCTCGTTTCTTTAGGGCCGCTTTTTCGGAGACTTTTTAAGCCTCCTGAAGTTGTCTTGTATGTGTTTCAGCTTGCCTCAGGTTTCTAGCCAGATGATAGGTCTGTGGGATGGCAATGCTGGCATTTGCTTCTCTTAAATGCTCTCTGATACGCTCCTGCTATGTCTCTTAGCCAAGTTTCTATGCCTGACGTCTCAGTTTTCTTTCTCAAACATTTTGTGGTCTGCCTTAGCACCATATACCTCAGTTTATGGCATGAAAGAAAGAAAGAAAAGGGAATCATCAGGACATTTAATCTCGTTTGTGGATGATTGGTATAGCAGATAAGATTTGGAGCTTTTTGTTTCTGTTTAACAACAGAGTTGCTAGCTTTTCTGTGTTGTAGACTTTTCGTAGACATGTATCCTGTCAGTAAATTTAATAGATTTGCTTTTTCCTCTAAGGTGCTTTATTTTTGTAGAAATATGATACATTAGGAGCAATTCAAGAGTCAGTTCCTGAATCTGAACTAGCTATCAATCTGGAATGTGTTCTGCCCTAATCCAGACATAAGCCAGTTACTTGTTCGTTATATTTTATGCTAATCTCTTTTATGCTAATCATCTCAAACTTTAACAATGTTTGTTTGATAAGACTCAAATCACCTGGAGAGCAAGGAAGGAAGTTTATTTCCATTTTACAGGCTGGCAAATTGGAGGGCAGAGAGAAATGAGCTAGTAATGGTAAGAAACCAGTGGCAGGGATTAAAAGTAGATCATCTGCCTTGGGCCTGCTTTAACTGATATGGAACCGCTTAACACACTGCAAAGCAAAGGCTTCGGGAAGCATAGCTGTACTTGCGCTCTGGTTGTGTCTGCTGGTGATGTTCGCTTTATATTAATGGTATGAGTCGGCTTCCCAAAACATTTGAGCGGGAGACATGATGAATGCTCATGAATCAAAGGCTGTTATAAAAGCAGAGGCCTTGAGCCAGGAGGAGTTGGAAACCCTTTGAAAGCTGAAGGCTCAGCATTCATGGGAGGGAGTGCCATGGGATGCTGAAAAGCATCCTCTTTGAATCACGGAGTGGTGCTGACGTGCCTCAGAGGGAAGGCGGCTGTGGCGATGCAGGTATCCTGTGCCGTGGTGTCCCTGTGAGGGATGGACTCCTTGCAGTGGGGAAGAACGTTTCATTCAGCTAACAAATATGTACGCCCTTTTAGATATATATATACACCCAAATTTAAAAAGGTAGGGCTCGTTGTGAGAAAGAAAAATATTAACAATCAAATCCATTGGTCTAACTGTTGTGGCAGTTGACTGTCTTCTATTTCTCAGGCATTTCTTTTGTTTATTTTTTCTAATGAGTGTTGTGTAATTAGTTATGAGGATTTTATCTGTCTGTTAATGCAACTTCCGTGTAGAATTGGAGCATATTAAAGAATAATACAAGGACATTAAATAAGCATAAATCTTCATGGATTTTAATCAATTGATCTGATTTATTCAAACTTCTACATATCTTATCAGTAATTACACTTTAAAAGCCATATTAGCGAAAGTTTCAGTAGCGCCAAACTTTGAAGTTGTAGGTAATGATTAATGGAGAGCTGCACAGAACTCTGTTTGGAATGTTAACAAACTTCTTGGAATTATTTGACTTTGTGTCAGATCAATATGTTTAATGAGTCACGAAAACATTTAGCATGGACACTTCTATGTCACAGCTAAGCATTCACTTTTCCAAAAGATTCAAGTTATGTGAAAGACTTGTACGTGCATTGTGACTTCAGAAGTAAATTGCGTTCATTGCGGGAAACACAGTGCAAGACTGTAAATTTCCTGGTAGTATCTGTTGTGTTTCAGAAATACCCGGTAAGTTAGCAGTCTGAAATCATGACCTTTTCTGGGTGATGATGTTCTGGTGTATTTTTGTATCATTCAGTCCTGTATTTCAAAATGCCTGATTTTTTCACTCGTTATAACGTATGTCTTTCGCTACCTGTTTTTCTTAAACTGGCCCCCCCCCCCCGCCTTTTATTTCTATATTTATACCATTTGATGAAGTGTATCGTTGTCATTATTTTGGTCTCCTAAACAGCAGCATGGCATTATAAAAGAGTGTTAGCTGCACACCAGATTACCTAGCCCGTGTTAGATTTTGAATGTGTGATATTTCAAAGAAAACAAACTTCTAAATAAGATTAGGGATTTCCAATAGGAGGATGGAGAAGGAAACCTGACTCAATTCTATTGACCTGTTCTAACAGGAAATTTGCTGAAGGCTTGTAAATGAAGCTGTTCAAGAGCAGACTAAAATAAGTGAACTATAATCCATATTACTATGTTTGAGCTTCACTCTTTGCAGAGGAGACAGCTCATTGCTTTGTTCCTTCGGTGAGAAATTCTTCATTAGATGATGGAGGAAGAGAAGTACATGAATATTTTTTTTTAATCTCAAAAGTTAGCGTGTATATGCATTTACTGATTTAGATAGCAAATGATCAAATGGATGATTGATCTAGGAATGAACTTTCAAAGGAGCATAAGGGAATTTTGTAGCACTCGGTTTTGAGAGGAGCGGGGATACCTGTTCCCATATTTTATTTTGAAAATCCCACTTTTTACTCTCTCAAGAAAGGTTTAAATCCTAGGAAACAAAATACACAACAATTATACTGCAAATTGGAACGCTTTCACTTGTATTTATTTAACTCATTCATGGTTTTGTCACTTACGAGACATGTCTTTCAAAATACATGTGTAACTCCCAATTTCATCTTCAAAGATGACAGCTTTCTTATAAATAAAACTTAGAGCTAACACGTGAATTTCCTTAGTATCAATACATTACCATACAGCCCACATGCTTCGCAGGTGTCATTGGCAAATTTCTGAGAGCAGAGAAGACTAAAACCTTACAAATCTTTCCAGCTGAAGGTACATTTGTGTGTCAAAGCCAGTATTTCGCTACAATAAACTTGAGGAAAGAAGAATTGCAAATCAAGTCCCCATGTCTATATTCCTCTCACTAGTGGGTACTGTTGTCTTATAAACACACCCGCGCACACACATACCTACCTCTGCAGGCGGAATGCAGGGATTACGTGCTCCTTTTGCCATGCCCCTAATTTGGGTGGCATCAAAGGGAGCTCAGTGCTACTTAAAAATTCTTTTAATTCGCACTATTTGCAGTAATTGTGTCGTCATGCGCTGTGTTTTGGCGTCGTGGAAAGATGGGTGAGAGGGGGAAGAAGAGCCGTAGAGAAGACAGCTTATGTTTAGACAAAAATATCATGCTAATCAGCACAGATGGGATGAGAAATACAGAAAAAGTACATGATAGTTTAATAGGTTTTTGGCAAAATGTGTTGGCTTTTTTTTTTTCCTTCTTTGAATATACCTGTCTGTGGCTACAGCTTTTCTGTAACAAAGACCTGAATGCTTGTTTCATATTAACATGTTTGAAGCTAACCATAATGAGCTTAGTTTTTATCTATCTAGATACTGGTACAAAAGTCTTCCAAATACAATGCTTAATTTTTCCTTGGTTCTTTGTGTTTGGATGGCAAGCTGTGGAACATATTTTTGCACAGTATGAAGCATCTTGGCAGACTTCTCAGGCCAAGTATTGGTGGTTTTAGAGTTATCTTTGGATCTGTCAAAAGTGCTAATAGGCTTTGTTGAGCTTCTTTAAGTTTCTAAATCATATTTGCTTTTTGCTTTTCTGCACTTTTTTATTTAACGATGATTAAGATTGCACTTGAATTCATGACTAATCTAATTTTGCTCTCATGTGCTTTTTGTATAAGACTGTTTTTATCATATAGCGACTCTTTCATATCTGTAAGAAGCTATTTGGAAACAAATTCCCTAATTCAGCTTTTTTTTGGATGTATTACCTTTTCCTCCACCACCCCCGTTTTTTTAAATTTTTGTGTTTTAAGAAGTGAAAATATCCTCTACAAACAAAAATCCTTTTTTGTTTGCCTTGCACTGTAGAAGCCCCTCATAACATAATACATTTTGATCAAGTTACCTACATGGTGGCTTTCTAGTTTTGAGAGTAAAGATCTTAGGATCACGTTCTGCTGTTTATTAGAAGACATCTTAATTATTTAATAAATGATGCATGATTCATGCCACTCCAGCATGTGCACGGGGCAATTACATCGGTACTGAAGAATGGATAATATTGCTGGCTGATGGGATGATGTGGGGATGCAGTGGCCCTATCCTCTTGTGTAGCTTGCTCTGTTTTCTTTTTTGAATTTCAGTTATTTACAATAATTTTTACATAGGTACTTTTTAATATTCTGAGCAGCAAAAGCAAAGAAGAAACCCGTGTTGCCTAGGAAGTGCATATGTAAAGTCTCGGTGGTGGTGCTTGCTTGTGTCTTGGTCTTTCTGTCTGTACTTTAAAGGCAGATTGCAAATGTGCTTTGCTTACGATATTCTGCTGCAATTAATTTTCTATATACTATATAAACATACTGATCACTCAAGTAAAACTGGATGTTTGAATGCTGCCTCTTCATCAGAGATTGGCAGCCACTGAACGTTTCAGAGAGCGAGCCCTCTCGGTCTCCGTGCCCAGCTCCCCCGGCCCCCCGGGGAAGCGCTTTCTGTCTTCCACCAAGGGCAGCGTGTCTGAGTGCGCGAAGTGAGGAGTTCAGACAACTCGCCGAACTGTTTTTAGCTTGTGTGTTAAATGCCCAGCTGGATTTCTAATTATCTGAATTGTTCTAGCATAGACTGAGCTTACATTCAAATTTGTGATATTCGAATTGTCCACTAAAAAAACTGGTTTTGTTGTTGGGTTGTGCAAGTTTTTTGGTACTTGTCAGGCAGCTTTGAAGTTTCCATAAAAGTGACAGAATGTATTTTTTTCTCAGAGAAGTATCTTGTATTTAAGAAGCTGTATGTGATACGTCATCAATTTTATTATTCCAAGACCTACTCTCCAAAAGTGAGGGGAAAGATATTGCAATTAAAAAGTAGTCTGACATAAGATGACATGCTGCTTTCTTTTGTTAAGCCACGTACTGGATGTAGCATAATAGGAGGATGAAATCTGGGGGGTCTTGTTGTTAAGACACTTGTTTTTGTAATATCATGAATCAAAAATTATTTTCTCTCTTCCCAGAGAAATCTGACAGAGTATTTTGTAGCAGTTGATGTCAACAACATGCTGCATCTCTATGCCAGTATGCTGTATGAACGCCGCATCCTCATTTGTTGTAGTAAGCTGAGCACTGTAAGTAAAATGCAGAATAATTTCTTCTATTCACAGTACTTTTTTTAAAATGATAGTCATATATAGGAAATGATCTGATGATCTCTAAATCCCCTTTCCAACCTCAACTTAATTCTGTGGTTCTCTGTGCTGATTTTGCTGAACTTTGGTTGGCCGCTAATGTTCAAATGAAAAAGGGTTTTTCGGATACAGGAATTCTTGGGGTTGTTTGGTACATAAGTGTACAAACATTTATGCCGTAGTGAAGTCCCTTTTTCATAATTTACTTGACAGGGAAAAAAAAAAAGATAAATGATACTGTCAAATGGATGTTCCAGTGACCTTCTCTGGACGGACCAAAGGAGGGGGCTAAAACCCATTGACAATCCGCATTTTTGCAGTTTTGTTTGATAAGGTGTAGCCGTAATGCTACTTAGGCTCCATCAAGGGTCTGAGAGATGAAAGCCACTGAATACTCTAGAGTACTCTCTTCTAAAAATGGCTGGGCATCAAAACAAGCACACAGCTTGATTTAGTTCTAAGTTTTGTGTTATGCATTTCAAGGTCTATCAGTCAATAAGATTGTGATTTTCTTTATAAAAGAAAATGTTAAGTTTTCATTCTGTTTGCTCTGTAAATGGGTATTGATTGCTTTCCTTTATGAACGATGAGCATAAGATGGTTTAACTAATTTTGCTTTCTAGTGGGTGGACTAAGTACTTGAGTGATCCTTTCTAAAAGACAAGCTTCCATTTCCATTTTGTGTGGTATTAACTAGTCTCTTACTGTATGACCATGACCTACGTTCTGTTTGCGATTAAAACTGTCATGGAATTGTAAATACTATGGAAGGCTGATCTTACGTGCATAAAATCATGTGAGAATGGTCTGTGGATACAGGGCAGAAAAAGGAGAGACAGTAAGACTTCATACTTAATCTCAGAATAACTATTACAGTATCGTTTTGAAAGGTAAGTGAGCCTAGGAGAGTTAGAATAATCTCTGCAACCTATTAATAATTATTATCTGTTTACAATCAATCCCACATTTAACCAAAAGAATTTAAGTATTATAAAGTTTAATATCATAGAAAACTTGTAAAATCGTAACTTTTATATCTGCCAAGTGTTCTGTGTCCTCCCTACTAAAATGAGCAAAAATACCTCCAGGCCTGGTAATTGCATAAAATGAAAGAGAGAGGTGTTTATTTGAGAAACCTAAAGAATGAAAAGAATAGAAAATTATCAGAGAGGAGGACAGAAGAGAAAGGCTATCCAAAGCATTTCGAAACTTGTGTGGTTGGTTGGTTTAATCTCTTCCTTTGTGACAGAGCCTGGGAAGAAGAATTACTTACCTGTCACTTTGCCTTCCTTAATGAGCCATTTCACAAGTAGGGTTGTGTTTTCTTTCCTATCTTTCTGCTATTTCTCTTCCTTTTGCCTCTGTCCAAGATAAAAGCATGTCTGGTTCTTCGGTAGGGAGGGGTATTCATACTGTGTGTTCTTATCTTACAACTTTATATATAAACTGCTCCAAGATTGGAGTGACAGTGTAAGACAGGTTTGAAGCGTTGGGCCGGAGCCAGCGATTCCTTGCCTGCACGCTCTGCTCTGCGTGTTCCAGCAGTAGGAACAAGCTGCATTATTTTATTTCAAACTGTGCTCAGCGGAAGCCAAGACCTCGTAACTGGAAACGTACCAAACTGCGAATTCTCAAAGTAAAGTGAGGGTGGGGTGGTGGTGAGGGGGATTGGCTCCTTTGTTTTTATTTTTTAGTTTTTTAAGGAAAAAAGTGGAAGGGACCTATTTGCAGTTAATTTCTTTTAACTTTGCGACATGGCACACTTCATACTTAAGGCTTAAATTTAGTATCAGGTAAGAGGGAGAGAATTAAACAGTGCTGGATAGAAAGTCTTTTACGGTGGAATGAATTCTGTGTTATAATACATCATATCAAATTCAAATTTTGATTTGAAATATCCTTAATATAGTTGAGTTGAATAAGATTTAGAGGTAACTGAATGAGGCTGTGTTGATTAGATATTTTATAAACCGTGTGTACTGAACCTATGGAAGATTTATTGCTGTTTTCTTGGATTTTTTTCTTTTTTCCTACAAAAGGAAACTCAAATAATTTCTCCAAACGTTAAAGCAATTCTTCCTGTTAAATTTCTTTACGTATTCTGTGATCTAACTACTCATGACAAGCCAAATATGAACCAAAATGCATAAAAACCCCTGTGCTTGGCGAAAGACCACCTGCTGGTGAGAGCATGCTGTTGCAAAAGGAGAGAAGAGCTGTCCTTGCAGCCGGTGGTCTCCCTGCCATCAGAACTTGTGGTGCAGCCCTGCCTCAACGAGGTGTGTTAACCGCTTGTGGTAAGGGCAGCAGCAGGTTGTCGCTCACTTTAGAACGGTGGCTTACATGAAGCCTGAGGACTCTTAAAAGACTTCAACCTGTGAAGTTCTGTGGTGTTTCTGTTTGGCTCCATCACACTGGGGTGAATTTCTTTACGTAATGTTTCTGTTATTACAGTGTTAGTCCATAGCAAAAATGACCATTCTGACACGGATACTCTTTTGTTCCTGGGAGCTGAGAGCTTGCCGTGTCGCTTCTTCCGTGCCATGGAAAGCTCCGACACACAACCTCTGATTCCCTGCTTGGTTTCCGACATGCCTCAGGGCTCTGAGGAGAAGGAAACGGTGGTCCTTAGGAAAAGACAACGTATGATTAATACCGTTCACCAAATGTCCTTGTGATGCAACATGGCTAAGAGCTTGCACGGTTCTTGTTCTACAGCAGTCTTACAACTACTGTTTTAAATGTACAAGCTCTTCCTTCCCAAGAGCTCTGTTGCTGTCCCTATAACCTGCCAGCATAGGCCTTGACCTTCGTATGCAGCCTGTGCAACAGCCCTGCTTTCACTGCTTAATTCTTATGTAGCTCAGTCTTAAGCTTTCTGCTTTATTTTTAGCCCTGAGTAATGCAGAAAAATGACCTTAGAAACACTCAAAAGGTGGACGTTCTTTCCAGTACGTGTTGCACATTTGTAGCCATGTACTGCATACGTACAACTGTGCAGTGTATATGCACCAGGAGAGAGACAGTAAAATGCACTGGAAAATGGCCTATTGTAATTCAACATCAGTTTATAATTTTTATATATATGACAAAATCCCATTGATTTAATTTGCTTAAATAAGGCTTTTAGTGTATTAAATATAAAACTGTGAAAAGTGACTTAGTGAATCGGTGTCTTTCTTACATAGCTATCTTTTTACATTCTCTAGCAACAGCTGCAGGAAGCTGAGGTAGTGGAACTAATCTTATTTCAAAATGCTGGATTCCTATAGTTTTGACAGTTGGGCATTTCTCAGGCTGCCTTATTATTAAATGCTTGTTTTCTGTATGGCAGTCACTAATCAGGTGAGGTCTCCTGCAAATATGCTGTTTCTTTTTTACGAGCCCTTATCTTGGCAGGGTTGAAGGACAGTACTGGTGCTTACTCATGGTAGTATGTTATTTGAATTCATGCCAGATAGCAAGGTGGGAGTACAGCTCAAAAATAAGTGACAGGTTCTGCTCAGATGTCTGCAGTGTTGAGCATTATGTCTGTTTAATCTTTTCTTGCTGAGTTTTAAAACCAATGGGAGTGGGGCTTGGAAGCGGCCTCCTTGATTACCGAGTTCACTCCTCTACAGCGGCAACCATGTTGTATAATAACGCCGGGAAATAATCCATTTGATCCTCATAGAAGCAATTTTTAAGTAAGAATTAAATTTTTAAACAGTATTTTTTCCAGACATCTTTTTGATTTGGAGAACAGAAACAGAAAGTATAAAGGATTTAGGAATATAAGGAAAAATTATATTGGGAAAGCATGCTTTCTTTTTCTGCTGCATATTTTGGAACTAGGCTATGCCGTTTGCCTAATCTGTGAGAGAGCAGCATTTTCTCCAGTAGGAATAATATAAAGATAAGTTGAAATATAATGATGCAGGGATAAATCTTTAGTATTTTGTGAGTCATAAATGTAGAATACATTCAAGATTTTGTAGCTTCTAACTTTTGCTTTAATTAGTATCCTAACATACTAATATTTCCATCCCATAAGGACCATAAAATAATGTTCACCTGCTAATAAAGAGCTTTCTTATTGAGAAAAACTGAACAAGTACTTGTTCAAATACTTGCTGTACCCTGTCTGCTTCCAAAGATGCTATTTCCGTAGGATGGTGGTTCAAATCTAGTTTAAATTCTTGCGTGTTCTCACTTATCGAAACACGTTATGAGCACTGGGATGCTTTGGAGCTTTGTGGACCCTCCTGTTATGACACTGGCAAATCAAGCAGTGCTGAGGTGAGGGGTGAGTGTGTAGCTCTCATGGGAAGAGTAAATATGACCTTTGCAAAAGAAATCCATGCCTCAAATCTTAAAAATCTTTAAAAATCTAGGTAAAATTCAACAATGTTGAATTCTTCAAAGCTATTAAATAAATTTTTGTGGCATAGGAGAGTTTGATCCTCTTGAGGGTAACCAACTGGCTAAAAGGTTGAGGGAAAAGGGGTGAGAAAAATTATCAGTTTTCCTAATCCTGAAAGTTGCTAAGCAGTCCAACAGTGCTCTACTCTGGAACGTGTTCAATATCCTCATGAAAAACAATTTTTAAAAAGGGGAGAAAATGTTGTGGCAGTCATTTTGTTGCATAGCGTGGATAAATATAAAATAATGCTTATAGGAGAAAATGCTTCTAACCATGTAAGCAATCATGGTCTGAATAACTGAAGTAATTATTACCACTCAGAAAGAGATAATGGAGGTTTTTTTAAAGAGAGATCGATCTGTCTATGGAAATGCAGTTTATTACTCAGTTGAAGGCTTAGAAGCCAAGAAATTATTATGAAGGGAGTAGAGAACAAAAAAGAGGGCATAATGCCACTAGATATGTTCATGGCTTGCCCACATTGTGAATACTGCACAAGTTCTTATCTACTCCAAATAAAATATGATAAAGTAAACTAGTGAAAAGTAGAGAGAAGGGTAACAAGAACACGCAAATATACAAAATAATCTCTCAATTAGGGAAAGCAGAGTAGGCCAGGCCTCTTCATTCAGCCTGGTAAAGAGAGTAAGGAGGCAGGGAACTTGACTGAAATATAGAAAATCATGTGTGGCCCTTTAGAAGATAAGTAGGAGATCATTTTTTTTATTTATTGTCTCAAAATGCTCAAAACTCAGAGCACCCGTTAAAACTGTGAGGGAGTAGGCTCCAAATGAAGAGATGGGGCAGGACTTTTCAATGTGTTTATTTGAATTCATTGGCACATGAGCTGTGAGCTGCAAGCTGCTGGGGACGGAGAAAATGGAAAATACCAATATTGATGAATGTGTTGATTAGTGGTTTTAGTAATTTGTGTTGACCGGTGTTGGACAGAATATGGGGAGACAAGGGATTTTTGATCTGACTTAGTAGGGCATTCTTTTTCTTAGGTTTTCTTTGATTAGGTGATAGGGATGATTGGAACTCAAAAAAATTATTAGACAGATTATTCGTATATTTTAGCCACAATAACAATATCTCTCAACTAGGTACAAGGTATATTTTAAAATTCTGGCTTTTCAACTTGAGGGGTTTTGTCTGAAACTTCTATCATTAACGTGCTGTATGGGTTTATACTCGGCATACTGGGTCTTAGCTTCTGAATGATTTAAATAAATCTGTGTCTATTTTGAGCTGTAAATTGCAAAGTATATTTTGGTTCATCTTTACTGTCACTTTTCTGCTTTTGAAAAACACCTGCTTATGAAGCTGATATCTCACCGTGGTTCTTATCTGAACCACACTGCAGAGAACCACAGTAATTCTCCCAAAAAATTCATGTTCCTTGTGGCATTCTTATCGCTTATCCAGATCTGTACTGTTCAGAGGCTTAAAAATTACATGTAAAATATGTGCCTGTCTTCAATCTTCTTGCCTAATGACCTGCATTTTCATCAGAAAACCAGGTTCTGTTATTTACAGGAATTGCATTGGAATTACATAAAGGCTTTGGCATTGAACATAAGCCAAACTACACCCAGAGCTGGAGCTGATTTTCCCTGACATGGAGACTCAAAAGACTGTATTAGCTCATCTGGACCATTTGCTTTACTAGACATGGGTTCCCTATGAAGTGGTATAGAATTCAGTAGTCTTTCTTAATAGAAATTCATAATAATGAGGGTTGTCTACTTTTTTTTTTTTACGGTTACACCACATCTAACTGAATTTAAGATTAATGTCATGATTTTTCTTTGCTTAGTTTCATCTCGCACAACCTTAGGCCACCACAAGGACCTCAGTCCTTTAGAATTTGTCTTTTTGGTATTCATAAGCAGTGTTCTCCCGCCTTCCTATTGTCCAGCCAAGCGTTAGATGCTTGATTTCATCGTACCTTCAAATAGCTGGTAGATTTTTGTTGAGTATTGTTTTCAAAATGTCTCACAAGTGAAACACATTGTAGTACTTGCGACAGGCATCATTTAAGATTAAAACACACCCTAAACTGCAAAACACTGCCAGGTGGATGTGACTGCCTGTCACCTCTTAGTATTTTCCATGTATGTGTCTATTTGTATGAGTGTTCGGATTGATTTATTTATTTTCTATTTTGCCAAGTGTCTGTGTTCATATCCTCTTCTTATGGTATTTTGACTATAGCTTTTACTGAGATTTCCTTATTGAGGATTACCACCTTCTCCATTTTAATATCCTTAGTCCATGTGACAAATATCTTGCTTATCTTCTTTTCCAAATTATTAATTATCATTTGAAATAGGATTGAGAGACATAATTTCCTCCAAAGCTCTGTGAGGATTCTCCCCACGGCTTGACTGGCACTTGTGTTTGCTATTTGCAATTTCTCTCATTCAGTTCCTGCCAACATCAAAACTATTCTGCATGAGTTTTTAAAAATATAACTGAGAAATTCAATGGATCAAATGATTTGGCGAAGGACAATTAGATAAAAAATCCCTTTTAAATAATAGAAATTTAATCACTGAGATTAGTATGGTATATTCTTAAGAAATGTATGCCACTCATGTTGTATCTTCCTCAGCGCAAATATTTTTTCAGTTTGTGTTATAATTTCAATGCAGTTTTATGATATTTAATGGACGGTAATTAGTAGGATTGGGGGATTTGCCTTTACGATTTTTTTTGTTTCCTTTGTGTTTTCATTTCCATGTTTCTGTTGCTGTGTAGAACACTGGCTGTTCTTTTCAGGTTTTGTTTGTTGAATGAATCATGTTCTCGGCTGTTTACAAAGTCAGTCGAATGACAACCACCATAAACCAGTCATGCTTCACCCACCAATACTCTTTTTTTTAACAAGAGCACTGTATATTTTGTAATAAAGCATGTTGATATGAAAGCAGAATGGATTCTTTACTTTTTTTCTTCTAACTTTACCTTTTTAAGCTTGGTTTTTGTCTTATTTATGATCCTGTTTTAATATGTGTTTTTCAGTTAACTGCCTGCATTCATGGGTCTGCAGCTATGCTCTACCCGATGTTCTGGCAGCATGTTTACATTCCTGTTCTGCCCCCACATCTACTGGACTACTGTTGGTAAGGCTATATATATATATATGTGCGTATGTATATATATTATCTCTCTCTCTCTCTCACTTAGATTCACAACAGTTTTCACATTTCTGTCTAGTAAATCTTAAGTCCTCTTACGATGCAACTGTTACTCTAAAAATATATAGGCCTATTAAGGAAGCAACCAACCTAGTAAGTAAAAAAATTTATTTTTATGGCAAGATATAATTGTCTATCAGTATGTTGAAATACTCTTAATATGAGTGGTTACTATGGAATGCTGCAACTTAGATATTGTGTAATTAAAATCCGTTTTCAGCATATCTGTGTTAAATGTTAACATTTGAATTAAGACTCCACCTTCTCCAGTGGCGAAGATACTCTCATTCTTCTGCTTTCCTGAACTTCTGTTGAGGGTGGGGAAAAGCTATTCATTTTCCTGCAGTGATCTTTTATTATCAGCGTGTCTTTAGAACATGATATTTACCTTATTTAGGGGAATGAATATAAACTTTTCAAAAACGTATTCATTATCATGACGTGACAAATTTTGGCACAGCTCACGAGCAACCTCATATCATGTCAAAGCTGGCCCTGTTTTGACCAGGAGGTTGGACTGGTTGCCCTCCCGAGCTTCCTTCCCACCTGTCCTATGATTCCACACTGTCCAGGTGGCCTGAGCAGCCTCCTTGTTCACCCTTGGACTCTCCAGGTTAGCGTGTCATTAGGCGCGCGTCTTGGCCTCTGTGGCTAATAGTTCAGAAGCCTGTCTACAGTGCTCCTCAGACGGCCTCAGTTTTTTCTTTCTTTTCTGGTGCAAAGTCAAACAGCTCAGCCTAATCAGCCGTAACGTCATCTCTGCCATTTGCTGTGCACAGGAATGGCGGACGAGCACTCTGAGTAACTAACGAAGAGGAAGTTTAAGGTGCTGCTGCTTTTAGTTGCTCAGCTGTTAATTGCTGCTTCCCAGGCTCAGTTTGTGTGATTTGCCCCTTTTTTTTTTTTTTTTTTTTTTTTTTTTTTAATTTCCCCCTCTGTATGTAGCAGGGAGATGAAGTTTGCCTAGAAAGAGTGGCCTTACCTTAGGCTTCCAAGAGAAGTTAAACTTTCAAGCCCTGTCAGAGGGTTAATGGAATTGTTGCCTGGGCATGCAGGGGTGGAAATAGTAAGGCCAAAGCTTGGCTGGAGTTAAACCGAGGGATGTAAAGGTAACGGGAGGCTTCTGCAGGCTTGGAAGTAAAAGGAAGGCACAAGGAAAACACGGGCCTGCTGCTGCGTGGTCACGTCAAGCGATGAAGGATGCAGAAAACGCTGAGGGACTCGGTGCCTTTGTGGTTATGGCACGGGCTGCTGGCTGGGCCCCCGGGCCTCCCTGCGCAGCAGCAGCCTTGGCGGGAGGGTGGCACCTAATGCACTTTTGGGAATGATTTGGAAACATAGAAAACAGCCTCCCGCTGCCCCCTAGCATTTTTAAAAGTCCTTCTCAGAAAAAAACAAACTTATGGTGTTGTGCAATACCGTATTTTAAGTGTGGCTCTTAGTGTGGAGGTTGGCTGGGTTTTTTTAAGAGTGATAGCGTTCTGCGTGACGTTTTCTCTGCATTTGATCGAGAGTGAGGAGCCAGCCGGGATAACTAGCATTTTTAAGTGAAGTGCTAGGAACTGAAACATGTAGATTTAAAGGAAGCTGGCTCCTCTGCAGTTGATTTAAATGTTAAGTATGTGCCTATGTCGAGGATACACGGAACGGAATCTAAAAACTATTATCTCCTGTAGAAATGAACCTTCAATTTACTGGCTGCCCAGGAAGGGCAGGCTGTAGTCATTTGCACTGCCAGCAGGTGCCCTTTCTCTGCATAATGGGCTTCGCATGTGTAATTAACACATGAAGGCTGCTGCTGCCAGCTTTTTCTTCAGGTACACGCTGCTAGGAGTTTTCAGGACAAGGATGTGGACCACAAGAGGCTTTTATGCTGGGTTTGAAGATTAGGTATTCATCGACTTTCTGACAAAGACATGTTAAAAGGGGCTAAGTCCAGATCCTGCGGTTGGGAGCAGAAGTGTGCAAAAAGCAAACACTTGGGCAGTGTACCTAAGGAAATAAAGACACAAGTCATTGAGCTCTACTGAATGAATTCTTTCATGGCATAACACCCTGTCCATATAACGAATGAGCCAGCTAGTGTGTGAAAAGTATGATTTAAAAATGTGTAATTATTAGGCAGATTGTAATTGCATGCTCACAAATACAACAACTGATTACCTTAGCCAGATACGAACTTTAATTGGAGAGGTAGCTACACACACTGTAATTGTTTGAATAAGTCAATTTAACAACAGTTCACGTGCCATAAATATATTTCTCAAAATAGAGTCCATCTATTTTGTAACCATGTGAACTTAGAGACATCATTTTTGCCTGGGAGGACTGAGAAATCGGCTCCGTGCTCTCCGCTTTAAGGCGATACTATTGCTTATTGGTGTCTGCCTCTTAAGGGAAATGACTGAGATTATTTAGAGTAAAAGAGTTTAGTTTAATTTAAATTATTGCCTGGTTATTTCTTTTGCAAATGTGACATAAGAATTTTAAAGAGCTGAAATGGAGACAAAAGTTAAAGTAATGAGAAGTCTTCAGTTCTTATGAATAGGAAATACCAAGTTCATTCGGTTGACTGTGTCCATTTGTGGACTGTGCTGTATGATGGTTTTGAATCTTCTGCTCTTCTGAAAATCACAGAGGGGTATATAGACTGTATTACTTGTGATCTTTGAAAGTTTTTGAAAAAAGTGTATTCCACCTGTGATTATTTGCTTTTAATTGTTTGAGTTGCAGTGGAGACGTGTTGTATAAAGGGAACTTCTAAGGTCCCAACTGATATACTGACAACTCCATGGTTGTGAAATGTGAAATTTGTTGCATTTCCTGGGGAGGGAAGGGGGACACCACAACTATTGGATCTGTCCAGAGCTACGAAAAGGTAGAACAGCTCTCTTTGCAGAGAGCGGACGGGTGGAATAACTAACTCTCCTCCTGCCACTTGAAGATCCTTTTGGCCAGCTTCACGTAACTTCAGGCTCGGTGTGGAGAGTTCCCCCTAGCTGGTGAGAGAGGCACGCTTTCCCGTGCGAGGCGGGAGGAGGTGGGTGACGGGGTGGTGAATGGCAACTCTACCACAAACGTGCTCAATATGAAGCTGTTTCACTGACATTGTTAAAGCTCAAGTTTTTTCTATAGCATTTTGTCCTTTATTGACATTTTACACCAAGTACTTTCAAAACACTGTGGTTTCTCATTTTTTCAGTTTGCTCTTTGCTAATTTTTTTAACTTATAATGTGGAAGGGGGGTAATTTTCTTCCCATTTCCCTCTTGAAAGGATTTTTTTAAACTTAGTATTCATGTTCACCTGCATTCCTCATTCACGCACCTAACTGCAGAACTGAAAAGGCCAAAAGCCTGTATCTTCAAAATGTTTGTTCTCAGTACACTTGCTCTGTGTACTAGGGATGCTGATCCAACAATAGCGGCGTAGTACCATGTACGTGTAGCTGGAATGACTTCAGTCATCTGATCCCTATCATTTAGATTAATTGAGGGCAGGGGGGGAGAGGAGAAGCAAGGGGAAGAGTGCTATCCTTTATTTTTACTTTTTAATTAGGTAGCATTCTTTGATATATTTTCAGCCCAGGGAAAGATTTTGGGTGGAGGAGACTAGAAATTGGTGGGAATCCTATCATTAGATTTCACACGTTAATGCACAAGTGCTTGTTCCTTTGAATACAGAACAACAGAGGAAACATATGAAGCACTGCTGGGTTTTGGCGTTTTTTTTGGGTGTTGTTTTTGTGTTTTGGATTGGTTTGTTTTTGTTTTTGTTTTTGTTTTTTTTTTAAAAGTACATGCCAGCAGGTGCCAAAAGTACTGGTTAATGAGATACTGCCACCAAGCATCAGTAGCCAAGCACATACAACTACTTAAATTTGTCCAGATCTTGTCCATCTATTTTGTTTTTGGGAATTTAAGCATTTCTTGATGTGAAAGAAACAGTCTATTAATTTTCCTCACTACTTCTTCCAGCTTGTTTTTCATGTGGCATAAAATCACTCCCACTGTGTCTGTTTTCTTCCTTTTTGCTCTCAGTGTCTGTGTTTAAAATTAGCCTGTAAGAAAAGCCTGTTTTTGCTGACCTGGTAACACAGCTTAGTATGTTCTCTAAGTCCCAGAGCATTGTCACTCAGGTTATCCTGTGGGCTTTTACCAGAAGCAACAGTATATTTTCTGGGGTGATTAAAACAGTCTTTTATATTAGATAGACTGCTTAGCAGCCAGCATTAATATATTCTGAGCGCCAGATATATTCTGCTTCTTAGAGCACCCTGGCACAGCTGCTGAACAAACCTTTTTATTGGTGCAGTTTTCCCTTTCTCCGGGAGTTTTTTTAACTCCCTTTCTCCTGTTTTCTAAATATGCATATACTTCAGTATGCTCCTTTAAGTAGGTGGAGGGGTAACTGGAGGGCGAGTACGCCTGCTGCTGGGGAAACAATGATTCCTTCGTCATGAGCCTCTCGGTAGGCATTTCGATTCAGCCTGCTACATCTGTGTACTCACTAAAAGCTCTTGTAGTTGCTCTTCTGGTTTCTTAGCTGTATGTTTTCTACATCATTCCAATTTATGCAGTCAAGTTTCTAATTTGCATCAATTACCCCAATAAATTTTGGATTGAATTCTGTTGCATTTCAGTGAGTAATCTGAAGAGAAACCAGGAGACTACCTTAGAGAGTAAAGTACTACTGTGTGAAAGAGCGACACATTAAGTCAGTATTTGTATATCAAGACATGAACTTAGTAAATGTGATCGAATCATTTTTCCTGGAACGATGAAGCAAAATGGTGCAAATCCCTGTGTAGCTGTAAACTAGGAACCTTTTTGAGATCCTTGGGGTTTACATTACTTTTGCTGGTGAATTGCAGTGTTTTTTAAGGGTGGGTTTTTTTCACTTAAGAGGAAATGTCCCTCTATTTCA